ATGAACTGCCTTTTATATCAGCATTCTAAACACTTTTCATAATTTCTAGAAACATGCCACACTGTACAGTAGCAGACCCAAAGACGTTTAGCCTCTCTGCAATAAGAAGGCAAAAGTAAATAACTCAGATATGCTTAGCAATAATGTTTCAGTGTTCTACCCAATCCAAAATGACCCAGATACTCAGATTTTTATCGCTTAACTTAGCAAAACTCTAAAGTTTTAAGGCACCAAAAAGAATTTGGAAGCTGTTTTTCTCCCAAGTATACAGACCATGAAAGTTATTTGACCCACTTTTATCTATTTAAACCATTTGTTTCCTACAATTATGTTCAGATTACCCATGAAAACCTCATGAGGTATTAGACAAAACTGATCATTTAAAGCTATTATTTTGCTGATGAATTTCTAACAGACAACATGAACTTATTTGACTAGTAAACCCAGGCTGCATATCTGCATCATATTCAAATACCAACAACTCTTGAGGACATGCCTTTTCAATCAAACCAACAACTTAAACTTTCATTAACCAAAAATTAACCTATATCATGTTAACTTGAAAGACATTTGGGTTAAAGCTTTTTATAAGCACTTATTTTAAGTCAATGGAATAGAGCTCTTTAGAAATTGCACCATCCAGAGGTAAAGTATCACACATTTGTAACATATGCAGACACACACAGACAGACAGACATATAGAACAAAGATTTTCCTTAGATTTCTGAGTTAGGTGTTGTCATAGTAGATCGCAATGGAAAAACTTATTTTCTCAGGTTTTTTTTTCCTCTTTCTCTCTCTCTTTTTTTCTTTTGGCCTTAGCAATCTGGCTTGGGATCCCCCTTTGTTAAGCAATTGCAGTCACAGCATGAAGCCATCCGGAGTCCGGAGGAGAGGCTGCCCATTCGGGAACTGATCGGGCTGTTTTAGAAGCTCGATTTCCCACTTCTCTTTTAATTTTGTTTTGTCATAAAGTCCAAACAACTTCTAAGGACAGTGTAATGGGTCAGAAAGTGTGCTGCTTGTGAGTGTTACTCCCTATAGAAAGGTCATAAACACTCTCTTACGTGCCTCGGTTTTTCCCTCTGGCACTCTAAAACCACCATGGGGGCTCGGAGCGTCGGGTGACCAGCCTTTATGTGTGCATCCCCGGACGAGCCTGTAATTAATTACCATGAATGAAAGTGGAGTTCCCTATGGGACCGCTGCACATCGCGAGGATTGATCCTCTGACACTCCTGCTGAGGTCCTTAGTCACCTAAGGACGCCTTTTGGTAAAGGCCAGGAGGAGCTAATGTCCCTTTTCTTTGGAACTGAACACATTCAGTCTCTCATTTCTCTATCAAGCAGTTTGTTCAGACTTTATAAACACAATTCTTTCCAATTTAAAGCCAAATTAAAAACATCAGTCTTCCCCATTCACTTCCAAGTTCCTCCAGGCTCCTCTGGCCTAGGAACTTCCCTCTAGGCTCCTCTGGCCTAGCAAATTCCTCCTAGGTTCCTCTTACCTAGGGTATGTACCATTACCCCTTAAGACACCTAGTCTTAAGACCTTAACCAGCTCATATAAACTCTTGAACCATCAACTTAAAGTAAGGAGGTCTGGGTTTCAGGAGAACTCACCAGGGTCACCTGAAGAATGCAGTGATCCGGGGGGCTCAATGGACCCTTATTGGTACCGAATGCCAGTTCAGTGTAGATTCTAGTTGGTCTCCGGTGGGTTTCTCTGAAATCCTGCCACGACTACACCAAGAAATGTTGATGGAAATAATCCATAACCAATCTATAAATGAAAATTTGGGAGAGTTTATTCTGAGCTAAAATCTGAGGACCATGGCCTGGGGCCTTTCTTCCCAAAGGAAGAAAGGGCACCGAAGAAGTGAGGTTATATACCCCCAAAGAGGATGCTTTACATATGATTGAAATGTCCCTTTTACATTAGTCGCGAGAGTACTCTGTCAGCACAGCGATTGATGGACACAGCAGGGAGGTCTGCTGTCTTGGTGAACACAGCAGGGTGGCAGGTCTGTTGTCTCAAGCTGGATGGTCACAGGTGAGCTGGGTGGTCAAAGGTGAGTGCAGCAATCAGTTCCTAGCCTAAGGAAAGATGCTTATCCTTAAGGAAATGTCAACGTGGGGGGAAGATGCACCTTTATCTTAAGGCCATTTGTTCTTGCCATAGGAAATGTTTTAAAGCAGATATGCAATGTGTGCTCAACGGCCAGTCAGGCCCTTTTGGAAAAACAAAGTCAGGCTGAATTAGGTTTACACCAAATGGCTTCCTCATATACTCCAATGTATCCTATTGCTTGCCATTTCTATTTGTCAAAGGCCAGACCCTTCTGCTGATGTCCAGCCTGGAAAGCTCTTTCATTTCTACAACACAGAATCATCTCCAGCCACACAACCCAGTCCACCCCACCTCACCCCCCAGCCAGCAAGTTACCTGTGACAATTCTTGATCACCTTCCCTCCGCCACTGAGTTGGTTTTCTTTGTATCAGCTTCTTCACTTGCAGGGGCACCAGCACAGACAACACTGGGTCATGGACGCCTGCTCTTAGGACCAGAAAGGGAAGGGCTTGTTCCTATACACTTCAGTTCAGAAATTCCCAGGAAAAACACTGCCTGGGCTTAAATCTGAGTGCCTGTCCTTGGGGAATAAGGGACCATGGTTGGCCCCGGTTGTGCTTTCAGCCCAGCTCTTTGGCCTGGGGGTCAGCAGAGACATCAGCAGATGGAAAAAGATATGCTGGGTGGACCCAAAAGAAAGGCCCTCATCCAAGCTTGTTTGGGTTGTAAACCAAGACAAACTCTTTCTTTCATTCACTGATCCATCCGTCCAATCCACTGACTGAACAGTTACTAAGCACCTACTATGTGCCAGGCAGTGTCATATCTGAGATGGATATAGTGGTGCATGAGATCTGGCTTCTGCCCTCCCGGGTGGACAGGCCAGTGGGGACAGAGGGGAGATTGATGTGTAAGCTATCAGAATGCAGTCCACATGTCTAACAAGGCCATGTTCATGGTCAAGGAGGGCCTGTCCATGGGGGATGGGAGAGAGATCAAAGGAGGTGGTGGTGGGCGGGAGCTGGCAGGTTCAGGGCAGGACCTGTGGGCCCAAAAACTTCACTTGGACACCGGCCCCCACCGGATGGAGTCAGGCTGGCCCAGCTGCGTATGCAGCTAGGATTCACAGGCACTGTCCCTTCCAGAAGCTGTTTGGAGCTCTCTGGGCATGAGCCACCGCACCTTCCCGTAGCGCCTCATGGCAAGGAAGACCTCAGCAGTTTCCTCTGGCCTTCGGCTCTCTTGCATTCCCTGCTGAGGGTCCCCTGGGGATCAAGCCCCTAAGCATCCTTCTGTTGCCTCGGCTCTGTGAGCTTTGGCAGTCACCAGGGCTGCCTCTCGTGCATAGTGACTTCACTGTCTCCTAAATATGTGACCCTGGGTATGTCACTTACTTGCTCTGTGCCTCAGCTTCCTCATCCGTAAGATGGGGACAGTAACAGCCCCTCCCTCATAGACTTGGGGGATTAGTTAACATTTGTAGAGCGTATGACAGTGCCTGACCTGTGATCAGTAATTGTTTACTATTGTATCATTGTTATTATTTTGTTGTTATTATCATTATTCTGACCCAGTGGAGACCTCAGAGTTTCCGCCACAGCAGCGCCCCGCTGTCTCAGCCCCTGGGGACTCCTCCTTGGCCTCTAGCTTGGGCTGGGGGAATGTTTCCTGCAGCCCCACGTGGGATCAGATGCCTGGGCTGGGGCTACAGCTCCACGCTTTTCTCCATCTTCTCTCTGCATCTTTCTGAAGTCCAGCGGTGCTGTCCAGGGACTTCCCTGGGTCCAGACTGACAATGGCAGTGCATGACGACTGCACACAGTGGTAACAACCTTTGGCTTCTGCAGCCAAAGAGAAGGGCATGGCCTTTCCCTGCCCTCCCAACCCAGGAGCAGAGTCTGACCTGAGCCCTGAAAACCCTGGGACATCCCTTTAGAAAGGCCCCAAATGGGGTGCCCCTGAGAAGGTAAGGAGACCTGCTCCTCTCCTGCCCCTCCCAGGCCCTGCTGGTCCAGGGGCTCCGAGGAACAGCTGGGGCATTAGAAGCCTGGATGTGTTGTGATCAGAAGCCTCCTGGAAGGTTCCCCTGACCATCAGAACCCGCATCTCCCCTGCTCTCTGCTTCTGGGGATTCCCTCAACAGGTGACAGAGCCTCCCTAGAAGCACATTGCAACTCCTCAGGCCCTAGCACCCCCAGACCAAGGCTCTCTGCCTGGGGAACAGGAGGACACACTGTAATCCAGGCCCAGGAAATGGAGGCTGGGGGTTTGGATTACTGCCAGACTGACCCCCATTCCCTCTGTCTGTGCCTGGGCACACTTGTGGGAGTATTTCCCTCAAGTTGTCCCTGTATCAGCTGAGTCAGGGACAGATTGAGGAGAAAGCTGAGCAGGTGATAAGGTTTAAATAGACTCGTGCTGGGCAGTTACTGGAGCATCTCCAACTCCTGCCCAGGTTTCCTTAGAAAAGCCCAGCTCTCTACCCGCTTTGCTACGGTGGCCTTGTGTCTGGGGCCGGTCCTGATTTAGGACATTCTCCTCCCAGAGCGGACGCCAACAGTGTGTCCTGTGTGATTTGGGACTCCCCAGATCTAGGGCTGGTAGGCATCCCTGTCCTCTCTGCACACACAGCGCAGCGGGACACTCTGTGTGGGCTCTTCACTCACACACAGGCACAGCCATCAGCTGCTGCCCCTGCACAGGAGCAGGCCCAGAGTACAAGGTTATGCTCCTGCTTATCAGTGGCTTCCCAGCTTCCTGAATCTGATTTTTGAAGGCCTGGAGTCTTAGAGCTGGCCTTCCACGTAGCTCTCCAAAGACCACTCAGATAATAAGAGGAAATGTGGTCATCAGCTCCCAGAAGGTTGGGCGTTCCAGGCTGCACAAGGAACCAGTCCATCATTCCCTGACCCGTCTGTGTCTCTCCAGACGGCCCTCAGCTGTTCCCTGTGAGCCCGTGGATATCACTCAAGATGTCCCCTTGTGGTTGCTGGGGCCTGCCGGTGGTCCTCCTCGCCCTGCTCTGCTGCCCAGGTGAGCTGGTGCCTGGGCTTCCTGGCTTGGCTCATGCCAGCCCAGAGGGTGGGCCGCCTGCTCCCCTGCCTTCAGGCCCCGGGAGGTTCCTAGTCCCAAAGTCTCTGAGGATTTGAATACAGCAGCTGACCACCACGGGTACAGGATGCTGTGCCAGCCTGGCTTCCCCATGACCCTGGGGAAGTGGGTGAGCTCCTGACCTTTTGGACACAGGATTGAACAGGCCCCACAGCTTCATGGCATGTGGATGTGGCAGGTCATGGAGGCTGAGTGGTGGGCTGGGTGGGGGCCTCAGGAGGTGAAGGGATGCTGGGGTTCAGGGGAAAGCGAGGGCATGCCTCAGCTGTCTTCAGATGTGGCTAGGGGACAGCAGGGAGCGGCAGAGAGCATCACATTCTGACCGTGGTTAAAGCAAAAACGAAACCCCTTCCAGTGGGTCCAGGGGACTGTGAAGGAAAATGCTGCCCTGTGCTGAGCACTCTGGTTTGGACGACCTGCCAGGTGCTTTTCAAGCACTGTCTCACTGAACCTTCATGACAACCCTGTGGCAAAGGGGTTACTAGCCCATATGACAGACGAAGAAACTGAGGTTCAGAGAGAGAAAAGCCCAAGGTCACACAGCTGGTACATGGCAAACTCAGGATTCAGTCCAGCTCTGTCCACCTGGAAAGCCCCTCTCTCGATGCTTCATTATATGCCACTAACTGAGGGCTGAGTGGGGCCCAGGACATAGGGTGGGCCCAACTGCTTGAGACAGAGACCTTCCTGGTCATTGCTGAGTGGGAGGTGAGCACAGAGGGCTCAATCTTTATGCATCAAATACTTCCTGAATGTGTCACACACAGGGCATTATGCTAAGCCCAAAGCGAAACATGCAGAACCAGGGCCCTGCCTTCGAGAACCTTCAAAATGACTAAGGGAGAGTCAGCATGAGTGTGAATCATTGCAAGGTGGTCCCATTACCTTCCTGACCCCTCCTCCCTGCCCCTCTCGCCTTCCTCCTCGCTGAGCTCCGCTGTCCTGATCTTGTGAGTCCTCAAGCACACCAAGCACACTCCTGACCCAGGGCCGTTGTGCTGGTGGTCCCCTGTCCCTGGAACACTCCCCCCAGATATCTGTAGGGCTCACCCCCACCTCCCTCATCTCTCTGCTCAGATGTCGTTGTCTCAGTGAGGCCTGTGCTGACCACACTATTTATAGCGGCCATCCCACCTGCTCCCTATTTTCTTTCCCAGGCACTCACAACCGTCCGAAAGGCTGGCCATTTTGCCTGTTTTTATTGTCAGTCTCCTTCACTAGGATGTGAGCTCTGCAAGGGCAGGGTTTGGTCTGTTTTGGTCACTGCTATATCTGCAGAGCCAGGGACAGTGCCTGGCACACGACAGCTGTTCAAAGAGTATATGCAGAAGAAAGGAAAGGAAGAAGGGAAGGGTTGACCATAGGGGCACAGGGGCTCTGAGGACACAGTCCACCTCCATCTCAGAGAGGCATTCATGGAGGAGGGGACATTTGGGCTGGGCCTTGAAGGTCGAATAGGATCCCTCTCCGTGGAGATGGAAGATGTGCATGAGGAAGACCAAAGTGGAGGTGATGGGCTAGAGGAAAAACAACCAGAGGCAGGGAGACAGCTGGGGAGCAATCTCCTTTGTCGATTCGTGAGGCAGTAAGCCCTGAACAAGGGGAGAGGAGCAGAGGGTCATCCCTGGCCTTTCTTCCTAGGCCCCTGCCCCTTGATCAGACTGCCAGTGGCGGGCAGCTCCACTGGGCGGGGCAGCGGGGATCTCTGCTGCCCAGTGTTTCTGGTCTTCCAGGGTCTTGTGAGACGGCGTTTGAGGTATACGTGCAGTCAGAGGTGCTGACGGTGGAATCCGGAATGACCTGGAAGGTCAACTGCAGTACCAACTGCACCGAGCCTGAGATGGGTGGCCTGGAGACCAGCCTAACCAAGAATCTGCTGGATGAACAAGCTCAGTGGAAGCAGTTCTTGGTCTCCAATGTCTCCCAAGACATTGACTTGCATTGCTACTTCATCTGCTCCGGGGAACAGCAGTTAAAGACTCTGAACATCGGCACGTCCTGTGAGTGCTGCACGGCGGGGCCCTGCTTTCCCAGGGCAGAGCCTACGTCTACTGAATGGTTACTGCCCCTAGCCACTGTCCTCACGGCCTCCACCTCCTTGGTAACAAGGAGCAGGACCCAGGCCACGGGCTCAGAATCTGCTCACACCCTTCCCTGGCCTCCTGGAGGCCCCTGGCAACCCCAGCTTTGAGTCTTGCTCAGAGGAGGACAATCCAAGAAAGGCTTATAGAAATTGAAAAAGTCAGTTCCCACACACTGCTCACAGTCTCCTCCAGCTCGGTAGCAGCCTGTCCCCGGAACATCCCACATCCCAGGACAAGTAGCGGGGACACCATCAGGAGGGTGGCACGCTCTCCAGTAGCCCCTTTGCCTCATGGACAGAAGGCTGAGGCGTCACTCAGTGCTTTTATCTTCCCCGGAAGGCTCTTGGCAAATGTGGGAGCATCACACACACACACACCTGCCCACCAGCCTTGGAGACTTTCCTTTGGCAGGGATTCTCTCAACATCTCGGCACCAAGGGTATCACTCGAGTCCTCCTGATTACCGACATCAGCGGATCAAATGAACAGAAAGACATCCGAAATCCACCAGATTATCCTGGGGTGATGGGGGCAGGGTATCCTATTTCGGAAGAGAATCCAGGGTACCACTGAGGGTCCTGTTTAATAGATAAGGGATTGAGGTGACTATGAACCTGATCCTGGAGAACCTCGGCAGGTGTGACTCCAGCCCCCACCTCTTAAGTGAGGAACTTCACAGTTCCTGGCCCAGTTCCAATGAGCACTCCCTTCTTTGTCCCTCTCAACATAATTATCCAACCATTTAATTTTTGAAATTTGTATTTAATTGCTGGAGAGGAAGGGGACAGATCCAAACTTTTTTTTCTAGCTGGCTGTACAGTTTCTGGACCTTCTCTTTGTAGACTTACAACCACTTCCGTTCTTGTCCATTCCGGAAACCATCATGTCCATAAAACTGTCACCCAACACCTCCTTCACTCTACACTGCTTCCTTCTTCCTCTCTGTACACTCTAGAGCAGGCCAGGCCCCAGCCCACTTCCTCCCCAACAAGTCCAGCCAGGGACCTGAGCACACTGTGGTGACAGGGAATGGGCCTGGCCAGGTGGGGCCTGCTGGAACTGCACCCCCATCCTGACCAGACCTCCCTCCTTTCTTCCCTGCAGACCTTCTGGAGCAGGTGCTGCTGAAGCTGCAGCCCACTCGGGTGGCTGTGGGCACATGGTTCACCATCGAGTGTAGGGTGCCCGCTGTGGAAGCCTTTGAGAGCCTAACCCTCATCTTGCTCCGTGGTAAAGAGACTCTGCACAGAAAAACCTTCGAGAAGACACCAGGCCCCCAAGAGGCCGTAGCCACGTACCAGAGGCTAGCTCACAGGAACGACAGCCACCACAACTTCTCCTGCAGAGCCGAACTGTCCCTGCATTCTCACAGCAGGGAGGTGATTTTCCGTATCTCAGAGCCCCGGATGCTTGACGTCTACGGTGAGCGGGAGCCCCCAGGACAGAATGGGGAAGGACAGGAATCTCACTGTTCGCCCCTTGGGGGAAGAAAAGACCTTTGCCCCACTCTCTGCCAGCTCAGGGGGTAGGCACCTAGGGACCCCACAATTAATCCTAAGGGTTTCTCTTGCTCCCTCTCTTCCCTGAAGCTGTCTCCAAGTTCCCAGCTTGGACTTGGCCATTAGTGACCTGTGTGACCTTGATCAAGTCAACTCTTTTCTCTGGCCTTGGCCCCTCCCTACAAGGAGAAGTTTGGCCTGACTGACCCCTAAGGTCCCCTGACTGTTTACGACTCTGGAAGGCCAACGAGCTCCCTGTCTTCAGGGAGTTTGGGAGAAGCTCACTCAGCTCTGCCTAGGAAGATACTTGGCCTGGACCATGCCACTGTCCGGGCTGTGGTGTCCAGCAACCATATGCTGGTGCCAGGGGGATATCTGCCCTCACAGTCTCACAGAGGCCCGGCTGGTGGCCTGGACCCCTCCCACCTTTCCCCTAGATAATACCCCATTTGACACTCATCTCTGCAACACAGGGTGACTGCAGGATGGACGAGGGGCAGGTAGGTGATGGGTGGACCTCTCCTCCCTCTTGGGCCCTGGCACCTGGGACCAGAGGACTTCTAAGACCATGGTCTCCTCCCTCCCCAGAGCCCATGCAGGACAACCAGATGGTCATCATCATCACGGTCGTGTCGGTGCTGCTGTTCTTGTTTGTGACGTCCATTCTGCTGTGCTTTGTCCTCGGCCAGCACTGGCGCCAGAATCGGAGGGGTAATTATGGAGTGCAGCCCCAGACTTGAAGGGGCCTGGGATGGGCCACTGGAACTCAGCGTGGCTCCTCAGGGTTGTGGTCCAGCCCTGGCTGAAGGACTGTGACAAGCAGCAGAGGACTTTGGAGACAGTTCTTTTTCTAGTCTAAATACAAAACTTGGACTTAACCCTGTGCCTCACTGTCTCCACCTCACTGTCTCCTCCTGGGATAACACTCAGCAGCTGGGAAGGGGACCCACCGGGCCTGGACTTCTCTCCCCAAATGTCTCCTCAGCCTCCCTCAGCTCTCTCCTTCACAGGGGCCTTCCAGAGCCCTGGCCAGCCCAGGCCTCGGGGCACCCCCATGCTGACCAGCCCAGGTACCAGACCCACCCTCATCAGGCTGAGTGACTAATTCCTTCTGAGGGAGTGGAGGAGACACACCCTGGCCCTCTGGCGGGGCACAGAGACAGACGCTCTGTTCCCACGTGGCCCCTCAGGACTTCAGGCCACTCCTGTCGGAGTAGGACATGGCTCTGACCTCTCCTTTCTGCCAACAGAGCCAGGGTGGGGATGCCTTGAGAACTGGCTCGGCTCCAGGACCCTCCCAGCCAGGCCTCTCCTCCATCACTCTGGGCCTTCAGAGATCTGTGGACAGCAAAAGCAGGCCTCCCCTCTCAGCTCCTGCCCCATTATTAGGCCAAATTGAGCCCCCGCTGCCCTGGTCGTCCCAGAGAGAGGGATGAGCAGAGGTCAAGGAGGCTCTGGTTCCCAGGCCTCCCCCTAGCCTGAACAGGAAACAGTAGGGCAGAGCTGGGCCTTCCCATAGCTTCTGGGCCCTGGAAACTGCCCTAAAGAGCTCTTACTCCAAAGCAGAGATTAGGCCGGTTCAAGGTCTCAGAAGAGGGGACTGAGTCACCCGGAAGGAGAGGCTTGGTTGGAGTTGAAGGGGAGAAACGCTGCCAGGAATGGGTGCAGAGTCAGCAGTCACTAGAGGGGCACTTGGGGGCTCCAGGGCCATTTTTCAGCCTTGCAGTGAAGCTGGTGCGGGTCCCAGGGCCAGCATCTGTCCTCATGGTAGGCTCTCGGCATCATAGTAGTCTGGGGAGACAGCACCCTCATCTTGACTCCCTCCTGCCTCAGTGGACCCCAAGGAGGGACAGCAAAGGGGACAGGCCAGTTGCCTACTGCAGTGACAATAGAAGCCCCCTCTGTTCCCCACAGGGAATCTGGCCCTCCTGGCTTCCTGACCCACCCTAGGCCCACCCACCCTGCCCCTACCTGAATCTGGGAGTACATCCGCACCCACAGTCCCTGTGGCACTGGGGGGTGGGGGTGGGGGCACGAGTCTCCTGAGACGGAGAAGAGAAAAGAAAGACCCCCATCAGAAGTGGCGTCTGAGGTTTCACCCACAAATGTCTCCAACCCACCCCCAGCCCCTGGCCAACGCCCAGACCCCCGCCTCACTTACGTCCCCCTTTTCCTGGAGGCAGGAGGGTGGTGCTCAATCTTGGCCGTGTCCTGCAAGTGGGACTGATGTGGGGGAGGGAAAAGGAAAGAGCCCGGCCAGGGTAGCAGGGGGCCCAGAAGGGGCCTCGGGCAGGGCAGGTAGTGGTGGTGGAACACCACAGGCCCTTCCTCCTGGACTCGCATCTCCTCCTCCTCCTCATACTCCTCCTGGTGGCCTTCCAGGTAGACCTGGGGATTGTGTAAAAGGGGGAGGGGAGATGATGATGCAGGCTCAGGCTCTCCCTACCCCCCACTCCTCTGGTCCTGAGTTATTTCTCCAGATACACGTCGTGAAATGGCTTCTGTGGACTGAGCAGTAATGACATGCAAGCAAGACACTTTGGAGACATTGCTTCCTTATTTTGCAGGTGGGGAAACTGAGGCTCAAAGAGGTTGAGCAACTTGTCCAAGATCACCCAGCTAATAAGTGGCCAAACAGAGACTGGAAGAATCCAGGTGTGACTCCAGAGCTGGGGTGGGAGTCCAGAAGCCGCCCTTGGCCTCTCTCCCAGCCCCTGGACCCACCACCGTCCCATCAGTGAGGGGGCACTCATCCCCGGGGCCACCTGGGTGTTAGGGGCAGCAGCAGCTCCTGCCAGCCTGGATGGTGGACACACCCCCCACCTCCTCCAAGCATCAAAATCCTACCTGGCTTTCAACGCTGATTCTAAGGCCACCTGCTCCTCCTAAGAGGCTTTCCACACCTCCCAACCAGGTGTGTACTCACGTTTTGTACCTCTCCGTGTGCCAGACACAGCCAAAGCCACTTTGTATTCAGAGTCTTTCATTTATTCATTCACTTGTTTAACAAATATTAATTGAGCTCCTAATAAGTATCAGGCCCCTTGCAGACCCAGGGTACAGTGGTGCCTCCCCAGACCCAGCCAATAGGTATGGGCTGGCATCCCGCTTCTCTGGCTCCTCTGTCACCTGGTCCTTTTTCTCAAAGGGGAGACCCCAGACAGATCCCCACCCCTAGACCTGCAGGTGGGCGGCCCTGGTGGCCCACCCCTACCTCCCCACCCCAGGACACACACCTGCGGGTGGGGCAAGGCGGGCCCGGGGTTGAGCGCCGCTGCCACCAGACGACTCAGCAGCAGCTGGTGCATCTGCGCGTTCTGCAGCATCATCAGCTCCAGCAGGTCTAGGGAGCGGGGGTTTAGCAGGCCCGCGCCGGGTCTCCCCTGCCCTCTGCCCCGACCCCAGGGCCTTTTCGCGGATGCTCACACCCAGGGGTGCGGGAGGGCTGCAGCGCGGACGCCCAGAGAATGTGCGGGGCGGAGCGGGGCACAGAGAGGTTGAGCCCCAACTCTCACCTTCCTTCACACGGCCCGGCTGCGGAGGCGGAGGTGGGACGGCCCATGGGACGGGCTGCAGGACGGTCACCCAGGGCTGGGGGAGGGGAGACTCAGCTGGATAGGCGGGGAAGGGATGAGGGGGGTGCGACCCACCGCCACCCCCCGCAAGTTGCCTCCCTAACCCCGCAGGGGCCGCGTTCTCCCCTCCACGCCCCCATGGCTTCCCCTCTCCGTGTCAGGTCTCTTCCTCTCCGGCCAGTGTAGCTCTCCTCACCCCCCACCACTCCCTCCAGGGTCCGGCCCCTCCAGGAACGGCTCCCTAACTCCACCAACCCCCAACCCCAGGCCTCCTCGATAAAGGCCGGCTCCTCTCCCGGCTCAGCCCTCACCGTAGGGGCTGCACCCTGTGGTGGGGGACGACTCCAGCTCCCTCCAGGCCCCGAGGCCATGGCCGGATATGTAGGTCTGGGTTACCTAGGCGACAACAGCGACGCCAAAGTCTCCTCCCACGCATGCGCAGATCTCGCCCCGGCTCCAGTCCAGGGTGCCGCTGGCCTTGGCCCTTCTGCTCTCTTTTCTCTGCCTCCGGGGAAACGGGGTCCCCGAGGGCACCCCCCTTCCCCAGGAGACCCCTCCAATCCTCCTGCACCAGGGCTCCCTGGACATCGCGTTTTATTCCTCGCTGTACCTCTCACCCTTCTGCATCCCTAGTCCCGGACCTGGTGGGCCTCTGTTTGTTGAGTGAATGAGTGAGGAGCTGGGCCCAACTCAGACACTTGATTTTCAGGTCCCAGAGCCCAGCTGACTAGGATGAGGAGTTAAGCAGGAATAGAGAATTCGTAGGAGCAGGCTTGGGGGCAAGGGGCACATGAGTGCAAAGGGCAGAGGATCTGCTCCCTGTCACTCTGAATCAGAGGGGCGTCCTGCAGGCTGAGTGGTTTTTGGAGACCAAGGAAGGAAACACCAACCAAGTTCACAGACAAGGCTGGGCCCAGGCCAGAAACAGGTGGCTGGCGCCTTGACTCCCACCTTGTAGCTGTTTGTAGCTCGCTGGTTCCCAGCCAAGGTGAGCTGCTGCTTCGCAGGGGTGGAGAACCCTGGGGAGTTCAGCACCAGAGCCTCCAATTGTCCCTCATCCTGGAAAAATAACCAAAGCAGACATTCTTTTGACAGGAAGTTATCAAGATCTTCTTTTCTTAAGAACAGGTGAGGAGAGAGATCTATTTCGGCACCTGGGACCTTCCTAAGATAGGCTCTGAGCAGCAGTCAAGGGAAATCTGGACAGGAAACTGGAATTAGCACCCCCTGAGTTGCCCTTCCCCCACCCTCCACTTCCGTGCAGCTTCCCTTCCCAGCAGTCCTGTTGTCCAGAACCAGAAAGACTAGAGCCTTGTGCCCTAGTCCCTGTCTCCTGGGGAGGGGCCCGTGCATTGGCTGTCCCTGTGGGTCTTATGGCTTCAGCAGCCATCCACAAGCTGAGATCAGGCGCTGTGATCACAAGCCCCCAGTGAGTGGGAAGGACGCAGAGGCGCATCTTTCTGTCTCCCCCTCATTCCAGGGAGAAAGAGAAAACAACCCCTGTGCTCACCATCAGCAAACCTTGACCAGGGAGGTGTCTGCGTGTGCAAGGCGCCCTTCTGAACACTGGAGACACAATAGTGTATCCTCACTTCTTCCAGCAGTGTTGGGAAGAGAAATCGTACCCAGGAAAAGAGAGCAAAAATACGAGACTGTCCAAAGTTCTGTATGGGTGAAATATACAGGAAGGGGTCATGAAAAAGAGAGGACTCACTGAGGGATGGCCTTCTGAGAGAGGAGGAGGCCCTTGGGATGGGGCCATGCAGCGTGGGAGGGAGAAGGCCTGAGCAAAGGCACAGATGCAGGACTGGGCAGGGCCTGTAAGGATCCAGTGTCTGGATGTGGTGGAGGAGCGAGGCAGAGAGAAGTTCTGGTGGCCTACTTGAAGAACAAGTTATGGAACTTAGGCTTTGCCATGTGGGTAATGGAGAGCTCTTGGTGGGTTTCGAGCAGGAGAGAAATAAGGGGCGATGTGTGCACAGCCACATTTTAGGAAGATTCATCTTGTTCCTCACATCTTTGTTTATGTCAACCAGAATTAGAACAAATGTCTGATAGAGCTGTATCCTCTCAAGGGAATACTATTCAGCCATTGACAGTTTTGGTATAGCTATATCTACTGATGTGGAATGAGGCCCAAGAGAGTTGAGCAAAACAATCAGTAAGCATAGTAAGTTTTTATTTTTGTTTTAAAAATCATATGTATATATTGCTATATACATGCATATATTGCTATATATATATGTGTGTGTGTGTGTGGAGAGAGAGGAAGGAAGAGAGAGGGAGGGAGGGAGGGAGGGAGACAGACAGAGAGATAGAGACAGATACAGAGAAAGGGAGGGAGGGAGACAGAGAGGCAATTATAGAGAAGCTGTCAGGGACCGCCTACCCACCCCCCAGCCTCCCTCGGGGTTCTCCTGCAGTTGGTTCCTGCCCTGACCTACAGTCTCTCCACCTGGAGATATTTTCTGGCCACAGGTGAGGCAGGCCAAAAGTCACCCCAGGAGCAACCATGAAGCATTAAGGGACAGGAGTTGATGGTAAACTCCCCAGTCTCCTGGCTTCAGTGGAACAACTCTGAGCGGTCTTCCCCACAGACTCTCAGCATCCCTGTGGCCTTGTGCCTTAGTTGTCCCAGTGACAGCCCGCTCATGAACACACACTTTATTGGCTGTGCTCCTTTCCCTGTCACTTCTCCACTCCCTCACTGTGCTTCCTGGGATCTCCTTCCAGACAAACTACTTGTTCCCAAATCCTTGTCTCAGGCTCTGTTTTCAGGGGAATCCAAACTAAGACACCAGCCTCCCACTTTTTCCACATTTGCCCCAGCCTGCTGAAAACTCCTAGAAAAAGCTATTCTAACAGCTCTGTGATAAATTTGTGTTCAGTGAAGTGAAATACCAAAATAGACATAGAAGAAAGTTCATCTGAGAGTATAATGGTCAATGGATTAAACGGAGGCAAAGCTGGAGGCAGAGAGGCCAGCAAGGAGGCCGCCACCTTCAACCCTCTAAAGGAAGCCCAGAGCAGGCTGGAGGTGGCTGTGGAAAACAGGCAGAAGGAGGTGACCATTTCAAAACCTCAGATATAAGATTGCTGGTGAAGCCTAAATGAAACTTGGATTTTGGAAGACGGGGCTGAGGTAAAAACTATCCAACATCTGGTATTCAGAGTTCTTTGTCAAAGGAAACAGGAGCATTTGCCATGTGGAGAAAGGAAGAGCCACATGCTTATCTGTCAGAGCTATTTTTCTACAGAAGGTCTAACATCAGTCCGGCAGTGGGGGAGGTGACTTTCTGGGTACTTGCCTCCTATTATTTTCTTTGAGGCATTGAACACCCCACATATTTCCTTTTTATTTTTTTCTCAATGGGGACTCTGGTTTGCATCTTTGATTTTTTGCATTTGTTTTTTAGCGGCCCAAGACAATATGTACCAAAAGTCTTCCCTGTTACCTTGGTAAATCTATTTCTGGAAATAAGCTAGACATGGAAAAAGACCTCTTGTCAAATGTATTCATCACAGTGTTATTTTTAAGAGTTGAAAATTGGACATTATCCAATGTCCAACCACAGGGGCCTCGTTATGTAAATGAAGGCAATGCACTCAAAAGAATAGTGTACGGTCATTAAAAACCACAGAACTGGAAAAATGAGCCCCCACCCCCACCTCCTCACATAGAAATAGAGAGAAAAGGAAACTTTCTAAGAATTCACGTGGAAATTCAGTGCTTCCTTTTGGTACAGATGAGAAATCACGCAGAGAGAAGACCCAGCAACGGGCCCTTCTCTTGGGCCCGGAGGTGCAAATTGGAAGGAGCTAGAATGTGAGGATTGGAGGAAAGGAGCTAAATACAGCTTTGCAGAATTACATGACTAGCTGGATATGTGGGGAGAAGGAGCCTTGAAAACACAGCAGAGAAGAAATTCCATTTTTCTCCTTACAGCTCTGACTACTGAGTTACATATCTGGCTTTTGGACAAACCACTGTGGCCAAGAGGACTGGCCAGACCTGGGTAACATGTCCATCTCGGTGGCTGGGGCAGAGTGGCTGTCCTGTAATCAGCAGCCCCACCAGAATCACATATTTGGAGTAGGGCAGGAGCAGTTCCCCAAAGGAAGGAGGAATATTGTTATCAAGAGCGGGAGGCATTGATTCCCTTTGGGCTGTGGGAAAAGGTCATATTTAACATACAGCTTTTGTTTTTCAATCAGCCCCATCCCTAATCCAAATGGCACCTTGCACAAATTAGAAAAATTAGCCCCTTCCTCTAGACATTTTGCCACTAACTGCTAGAAAATTGTCCTCTTAAATACACTAACCTATAATGCCTACAAATGTGATTGGTGCCCAGAATTGTGCGGTGTACAACCTACAACTGAATGCAGCAGCCCTGCCACTTTAGACGTTGTGATTCCCTTCAATTACTTCAATCTCTCATCAAAGAAAGTCTTACCCCATAGAGCTTTGGGCAGTGGCGAGGCAGAGGCCAAAAGGACAGAGCATAAATGGGAATGACAACCGCCTCCCACCACCTCTCCTCCAGTGCCACAGACAGGGAGCAATGCACTGTCGAGGGAACAGTGACCAGGACTTCCAGACAGTGGCTGGCAGCAAAGCAAACTGGAGCCGCAGCAGGTCCAGGAGGGCTGAGAGAGACCCCAAGGAGCAGCTTCAGGGAGACAACTTGGGAAGGATCTGAAACAAAATGCTGGCTTTTCCTCTGAAAGCTAGAAGCAGCAGATCTTTGCAGAGAAGAGGCAGGGCGGGCAGACACCAGATTACATTAACAGTAAAACTACATGGAAACCTTTTGTCAGAAAGGTTAGTGAGCAAGCAGGATGGAGAACCAGGCACAGAGAACAGCGCTGGCTCACACGTAGGCCTAGAAGACACACCTGTGAGGGTGTGGGGTGACTCAGTGCGGCCGAGATGTGGGAAGTCCAGGCATGGCAGGGACGTCTCAGACGACAGGCCTGGCTCCCAAGGAGGGGTTCCACAGAGCTGAGGCCAGATCCACAGAGTCTCTGGGAGGAGAGGCGCCAGCATGACCACCACCTGGACTGAGGGTCACCACTCCCCAGGCCTCCCTGTGCCCCTCTTAAAGGCCACTCTCTGCTGGGCTCTGCTCAGGCAGAACTCTGGCTTCCAGAAGAGACGGTGGCAGGGATGTTGGGAGACTGGGAGGAGCAATGCAGGGAGCTTTGAGGAACAGTTACTCTGACTCACCCAGGGATTCTCCTGTCTGCCTGGGGCAGGCGCTGGTGGGCCGGCTGTGAGACAGGTCATTCACAACAGCGCCACTAGGGGTCACCACAGCCCCAGTGGGAAAAGGGGGAGTGGGGGCTGAGGGAACTTCATTAGTCCCTCTACCACATCCCCTCCCCAAGCTGAGAGACAGATGTCTAGCTAGTTGGGTGGGGAGGGGGAGTAGCGGTGGAGAAATGACCCTTGAGACTGCTGTGTGGTCCAACTAAACAGCTGTGTGTGTGTGTGTATGTGTTTGGGTGATTGTGATATGCGGGTGTGGGTATACAGATAGGCATACACTTGATAAAAATCTGGTGACCATATACGCATGTATAGGTGGCCCTGTGTACATGTGAATGGGAGCATGTACATGGGTGCAGACAACTACAAGGATATAAGTAACCAGCGTGGAAATGCACAAATGCATAGCCTGACTGTGGTGTGGGGGTGTGTACACACAGAAGTACCCTTGATAAAAGTCTAGTGTCTGCGTTGTGTGGCATTTGTGTTCATCTGGGCAGGAGAGTACATATGGGTATATTTGTATAAAAATACGTATATATGAACAAGCCTGATGTGAGTGTGGGAGCGTGTCTGTATGTGTGAGCAGTACATGTGTGTGAACGGGTATAACACGCAGTGGAAGTGTTTGTGTAGATATATGAGGGTGATTTGCATGTATGGCTGAGTGTGTGTGAGGGCAGCATTTGTTGGGGCGGCACATACATGAGTGTGTACCACAGTGTGTGTGAGTGTGAGCCAGTGCCGACTGTGGGAGTCCTTCTGGGAAGGAGTGTGAAAGGAGACTCCAGTGTGAGAAGCAGCCTGTGTAAGTTTGTCAAGGGAGGGAGAGGAACTGCGTGTGTGGGCTCACACGTGTGCCCCAGCGTGCGTGAATGTGTGGGCATGGGCGAGTGTGTCACACTCGGTGGCTCCCGGTCAGTGGGCCCCCAGCCCGGCGGTGCCAGGCTGAGTCCAGAGCACACCCGGTGAGGGAAGTGGCCGAGGCTCCCACCTGAAGATTGGCCCAGTCCTCAGGTTTCACTCATGACCCTGTGACATCAGCGGCAGCAGCTGTCCCCGCCGGCCCGGCCCCCCGGCCAAGTCCCCCAGAGTCGCAGCCGCAGCCGCGGTGGGCACGGCGCTCCGGCTCGGCACAAGCACTCCGCTCCCGTCCAGCAGTGAGTACTGCGCCCCTCGGCACCCGCCGGCCGCCCCGAGGGCAGTCCACCCCGAGGGGCAGGGCACCCTGGCCCCAAGCCCAGCCTGGCTCCGAGGAAGTCACCACTTTGCTCTGGGCACCGCTTGTCCTCCTGCCCACATTGGGCCCTGCCCGGCGGCTGCCCCTGCCGAAGCTCCTTGAGCCTTGACCCTCTGTCCCCAAACTTGCCTTTCTCTGCCCTGTCATCTGCTCTCTGTACCCTTGCCTGGCTGGCTGTCCCTGCCCTCAGCAAGGGTCCTCACCCTGGTCACAAATGGCCCGGTGGCTAAGGCTCAGCTCTGGACGGGCACAGGGTGACCCAAGGGACAGGCGCTGGGCTGAGTTCTTCAGGAGAGGAGGCGGAGGAGTCAGAAGAGTGGCTCTGCTCGGCCTGTGTGCCGTGGCCCAGAAGGCAGGCGTGGGGGAGGAGAGCGGGAGGCCGGGTGGGGGTGGCGGCGGCTCCTTTGCTCGGCTGAAATAGGAGTCTGCGAGATGCCAGCAGAGGACACGTCTCCGGCTGCGCCGCCCGCCTGGGCTCTGCCCACTGTCCTTGCCTCTCCTCGTGCTTGGGGCACAGTTGGGCTCCTTGCCTGGAGAAGTCGACAAGGAGAGGGGCCCAAGGAGTGGCCCTTCGTAGCGCAGGGGGCACTGAGGACGGCTAGCCAGAAAGCCTGGTGTGGGGAAAGGACGTCGGGCCACAACACTGAAGGGACTCTGGGGCACTCAGAAGGAGAGTCAGGGCCAGGGAGGGTGTTGGGGGGCGGGGGATGCCAGGGCAGAGCGCAGTCCCCCTCCCCCCTGCCTGCTGGTGTAGCTGGGCACCCAGGACTCTGGGGAGTGGGGGGGGGGGGGGGCAGCGGCCGGGGGAGCAGGCGGAATGGTCTGAGCAGAGATGGCGGAAGGTCAAAGAGGTGCGTGGCTCTGATGGGTGGTGTGGTGTGAGGGTTGTTACTGACCAGAGGGGGGGCATTTGTCCAAAAGATTGGAAAGTCCCGGTCTAGAGGGCCTGGAGGGTGGGGTGGGGGCTGCTTGAGGCTTTCCAAGAATGCACTGGTGTGGGAGGGCGGGCCTGAGCCCCTTCCCACTCCAGCCAGTGGAGCGCTGCGTCTCGCTGCCCCTCCCCGCTGCTCGCCCTGTCACAGGAAGGGGCCAGGTCGTGATGAGGGCTCTGGCGCCCCACTGTGGGGACGCGGGAGCTGGCCCTCCAGGTGGAGACTAGACATGTTCCCCTCCCACCCACGCCACCTGCAGCGAGGCTTGCGCAGGAATAAATCACCCTAGAGACCAAAGGAGCCTTGAAGTCCATTTAATTCAGCTCCTAGCAACGAGCCAGCTTGCCGAGAGTAGCTAGAGACAAGTTTGGGGCCAGTCTGGCTTGTCTGGAGAGGGGAAGGGGCTGATAGAGAGGAGATGTGGAGCCAGGGGCAGACGTGATTGTCACTCATCTGTGACCAAGGCTGTGACTGCCAGGCAGGGCCCTAAGCAAAGTTAAGGAGACCCCAGGGGTGGCAGTGGTTGGACACAGGTGTGCGGGGCAGGGGTTGGGGGCAGAGAGGGCTGGTTCTCCTACTACCCTCCAGATTCTTCTGGAGTCATCCCCAGTACCCTGCCTGTGTCTGGCGGCCTCACTCTGTGCGGCAGTGGCGTGGACAGTGGTGGTCATCGCACTCGTATTTGGAGCCACATCACCTGTGTGGGACAATGCAGGGACCCAGACAGAACCCAAGGGCCCACCCCATCTCCATCCCAGCCACCTCTCAAGGGATTGGCTGGGACTTTACTGGGTTAGGGGAAGGTAATTAAGGATCCTTCCTAGGTGGCCCCATCCCAGCTTGGCCTTGGTTGTCATTTCTGATTGGGAACCTGCATGGGGTGGGGGCTCGGGACTCAGTGTCACCTTCCCAGCTCTAGGCTGAGTGTCAAGTGTCACTCACTGTGACCTGAGTGTCAAGGCCTGCCCAGTTGGCTTCACCACCATACATTCTGTGCCCCGACCCCGGGCCCAGGCCAAGGGGAAGCCCTGAGTTTGATGCTAAAGGCATAGAACTCCTGACCAGATGTCGGGGATGGTCCTGACAAGATCCCTGCCTTTGGGGGCAACTCTAGACAGAACAGAGAAAAGTGGCAGGAGGGGGTAGGAGTGACACCGCTGGGGGTGGGGCTCAGAGAAGGCTCCCAGGGGGAAGCATAGCCAGAGGGGATTGGACCTTACAGAGAGGACTCGAAAGGCTCCCTCCAGGTGATGGGAGAGAGATACATGAGATACATCAAAAGGAAAAGAAAAATCTGAGCCCCGAGGCCTCTGAGAGCAGGTAGAGAAGGGAGGGGACGGAGGAGGGGCATGTCAACAACCACGGTACAGGTTATACAAACCTTTGGTTCCTTGAGTTCTCTTATAGGGTGGGCTCAGGCTCAGAGGGTCCTGTCACTTACCCGGGGCACGTAGTTAGTGAGTTGCCAGGGCTGTGTCCACTGGCCAAGGGCCCCGCTCCCTGGGGAGGAGCTGTCGCTAGTGCAGGGCTGGGACGGGGCAGAGGTCGCTCCTGAGACCTGGGGGGCAGCTGGGTTCCCGTGGACAGCCCCGGGCTGGGAGAGGTGTTGGGCCTCCTGCAGGGGTCCCCAGTTCTGCAGTGGCAGGGACAAGCCACGGCTCCCATCCCTGTGGCTCCATCAGAAGGTGCATCTGGGGCTGGGGAATCCCAAGTTCCGTCCATTCCACCACCCCTGCCCCAGGCCCTTCATGTGCGCTGGCCCCCATTTTGCCTCATCAGCAACAGCTATTTTTATTCCCCGCAGTTTTCAGTCAACAGCCCTTGTTGGGGGGATGGGATAGCAGGAGGAGCAAGAGGAGCTGGAGGAGCCCACAGGCAGCAGGGGTGGCAGGTGAGCCACTGTACCCCTCAAAGGGCAGGCTGCCCCGCTTCCTGCAGGCCTCCTTGCCCTCTGCCAGGAGCCCTAGCCTAAATGGAAAGTGCAAAACCACAATAGTCACTGGACCCCACTCTGTTTTTGAACTGGTTTGTGAAACCAGGTGCCCCCCCAGCATCACCAGGTAGGTGCTACAAGGTCATGGTCCAGTTTAGACTGGGGTGGCAAGATAGCTTAGTGGTTAAGAGCCAAAGTCTCTTTCGAGAGCCCCCAGGATGAGCCTCCAGCCCCAGTTTACTACGTAAACAACCCCTGACGAGTTCCTTAACTTCTCTGTGCCTCAGTTTCCCTATCTGTTAAATGGAGTGATAACAATATGCTTGGCAAATAGTCAGCTCTCCGTAAGTGTTAATTAGTAGTTAATTATTACGGCTGTTACCAGGCTATGGCTCTGAATAGACGTCTCCTAGTGCAGGTAACAGAAGGAAGGAAGGAGCTCTGAGGAGGTGGGCTGCACGGCAAGACCAGGACAACCTCATCCAGCTCTGGGCGCCACGCGTAGCTGGGAGCACGAGTGTTTTTCTTTCCCAGCTGATCTCCCTCAGGTGATGGAGATCCTTTTATAAAACGGATGGTAGAGCCCCTTCCATGAGGGTCTGCAGTTTGCAAAAGTTGTCCTGAGAAGCCAAAAGAGCAAAGCAGAGGCCCTCCGGCTCACATTTTAGTAGGATTTGCCTGTGACTCTCATCTTTTTTGAGGCTCGTAAGTTCTTGATCAGCCTAATTTTGGAGAAGGCTCTTTTACCAAAGTAGCTGGTGAGAAAACATCCCTGGAGCGGTTTCTGGGGTAAAGCAAAGTTCCCTGAGCCAGTGGCAGGGCCAAGCCGGCGAAAGGGGCAGGACACAGTGCTTCAGCCTATCTTGAGGTTCCAGGTTATAGGCCCGAGTTATGCAGGCAGCTAGAGGCCCACTTGTCCTGGTGCTGGTGACCACGACCCCAACTCCTAGGGCCTGGCAGGGGCCTGGAGCCCCAGTGGGGAGAGCGCAAAGTCTACCCTGCCCCGATGGTTAGGGGTTGGTGGAGAGAATGGGGGCCCAGGTCGGCCCTGGAATTCTCTAGGCCCAGTATCAGGTTCAAACAGTCCTCTTGTTGGCCTCTTTGTGGACCCAAGGCAGGAAAAAGGCCTGTCTGCTGCGGTCTGGGAGGGGCGAGGGGGCGGGGCCAAGAGAGAAGAGAACAGAGGAAGGCGTCTCTGGCGTGGACCAGGGTGGACCCTAGGTTGGAGCAGGCAGGGTGAGGGGAGGCAGCCCACTGGGCAGGGGGTGGATCTGCCCACGAGCCAGGGAGGTGGGCCTAGGCGCAGAAGGGGGTGTGCATGCACAAACTGGAGGGGGCGCATCCATAAAGCCACGGTCACCATGCTTGGGGGCTCCCTAGAAAGAGCTGAGCCAGCAGAGGGCAGGCAGCCCCAGGCCTGGATAGAACTAATCAGCTCCCCCACTCCCCCCAGCCCCCTACCCCGACGCCTTGGAGCAGCTGGGAAATGACTCATAGAAGCAATGAGTGAGTGTGTGTGTGGGTGTGTAAGACTGGGTTGCAGAGGGAGTTGGGGAGTATGTAAGGATTGATTGGTACAAATAAAAACCAAACCTCAAGGAGGGCTCTTTAACAAACTATTGACCTGTGTTCCCACCGCCTACAACTCCCAACACGAGGCCTCAGGAGGCCTAAGCCCCATCCTGCCAGGGCCTGTCAGAGGCCCACCCCAGCCCACGCTTTTCAGGGGCCTGGCCCAAGGCCTCTGGTCTGCCCTTTAAAGAAGACAGACAGGTAAGGGTCAGGCCAGGCTAGGGGACAACCTGGAAAAGACCTCAACTTGGGCGTGCCCTGTGCTGGGGGAGGACAGCCATGCCCAGCCCAGTCCCCCAAAGGGCTGGAGGGAGGTGGTGTTTGTAGTAGTAGGCACGTGGATTTGGCATCAGAGAGCTGCGTTCAAATCATGGCTCTGCCACTTGTCAGCTGGGATGACGAATGTGAAGCACTCGCAACAGCACCTGGCATGCAGTAAGCACCAAATGAATATCTGTGACTTTTTATCAAGAAACATTTCTT